CTGAATTCGACTGTTTGAGTGGAGCATCGCCATTTTGCTCGGCGCTCGTTTCGGTTGCAAAGCGCAACTGCCTTGCATGCTGTGCTTTCTGCGTTCCCCTAGCTAGAGCGTCAACGGTGTCGCTTTTTTATAGCTAGGCAACAGGGAACCTATTGTTGTACAAAAAAGGTTTCCATGCAACCCGACCTGTCTTTTGGAACCGCTCTCCGGGCTTCCGCCAAAGTCTGCTCGCTAAATTGCTTCAGTGGTGAACGGAATAGTACAAAGAACCAGTAGTAACCATTTTCGTGTGAAATAAAGGAGGATGGAAGTGCCTGGTATTTAGCCAACAAGCAAACACTTGACTGGTGAGACGTTAGTGTTGGTCAGAGAGAAACGGACTTGAGCCTGCGCGCCAAACCTCAGGTTTAGATGCATGTGGCAATGCATTATAACTAACTCGTTGCGTAGGTTTGTTGGGTGCGTACAATATGCACACATCACATCCACATCTCCAATTTCGAAATTTCACCACCTGGCCTTACATTTGATCACACAGTCAGGTCAGTCAGTATATTATAAGCCAGCTGGCATTAGAAACAGCACGGACTCCACGGGTTGTTTCCAGCTTTTGGAGCTCGTGTCCATCTCTCGATGGATTGCTACTGCTCAATCCAAGCACAACTTAAGGTTTATGAAGCATAAACCGGTAGTCAACTGCATGCATACGTCTGATACAGCAAACAACGTACATTGGCTGCTTTGAAGCTTATAGAACCGCATATGATGGGGTGCAAGTGGGATCTAGGTAAATTAAGGATAAATTCGAGCGTCACATTCTAGAACTCCACCAGCTTATCATTGAATTACAGATCAAGTCAATGGACGAAAACCTAAGGGTAAGAAGCTTCAAACATTTCTTCCACACAAAATAGGCAACAGAAAAGCACTCGTTAAACACAAAATCCCCTCGTCAATGTTTTACCCATTCGCATTGTCCCTTCTTTAGGAAGTTCTTCTCAATCAACAGAAGAGAGCCGAATTCTAACATTGCCAACCATAGTACGAAACAAATTACCATTCGCAGACCAAAGACGACAGTTAAAGTCAGCTTTACAGCTAATCACAATCCGTATCAGAGCAATTAACTGATGACGCTTTAGTTGGCTCTGTGCACCCTCAGAGTCGACATGTTCTAAGCATCTGAAACACATGTAAACCCTCGACCATCCACGTCGGATTCGAAAGCTGGAGCTCGCACGTTTCGCAATTATATCAGTGCCGGATTTGTAGCGCACGTCATTTTCGGCTTCGGGGGAAGTGATCTTAGAGCAGAACTCGGTAAACAACCATGTGTGCGATTCATCTCTAGTGTTCATTAGGAGTTGTTAAACAGTGAAACAAAGTGCCATGTAGCACAGTCTCAGAATCGAAGTAATGTCTAAATGGGGGACAGGAATATGCTAAACAGGAAACATGGAATCATCTACAATGTGTAAGTGCGTGACTCGCTAATAAACTGCGGTGGTTTTTCATTGGCTATTTCTTGCTTCCGCGTCTCGAAGCATCCACATGTGTTCATCGAACATACGATTTATCTATCCGTTGTGCTGCATCCAGCACTAACTACTGCTGTGTAGGATTATGATAAATTTGGCTCATATCATGCCATGCAAATTCTTCAGTCTGTTTGCCCCGTGAGAGTATGATTAGCTCACGTGAGCGGTGATCGATTAGCGCTCCCATAACCCATCACCCATGGGCTTCGTCCACACAGTTGTTCACACGGAATAGGGTGCTTTGTCATCAGTATGGGTTCGTTGGCGCTCGGGTGATGCGCACTCGCTGCTGCTTCGGCCAACCCACTTCTCCTTTGACTGTAAACCGGCTGCGGTTCATTCGCGACAGCTGGATTCAATTCTGCCTCATCCATAAAGCCCGTGCGAACACGGTTAGATTACGCGGCACCGCGCCGATTCCATGCATCAGAGTTATCGTCCATCACCACACAAGTTAAGATGACCGTTTGTCGTCTTGACATTTGTTCTCAAAAGTAGCAGCCAGAATGTGTCCCAGAAACGAAATTTGGGTAGCTCTCATCTATGTAATTAAAGGCATGGACAGCACGATATTTGTTGATGGAATAACAGCACAACTGGGTCAGCATTATGAAGTCTAACGCTGTCTAAGCGGCAGATACTTGGTCAGTGTTTGCGTCGCTGTAAACGGAGACTGGGTCACTCAAATGTATGTAGACTGCAATATATTTAGCATCAGCGCATCGAGCAACACGCGTCTACCCACAGACCCGGAAAACAAAAGATCATGGCGCAATCAGCTATGGATGAGGCAGTTCAGTGTAATAACATAAGTTGACCGGAAGCACGCACACTCTTATGTGCGTCACTGCATTAGAAATCATAGCTCCGGTGAAGTACGCGAGTCTAAGGTTGCCTACTCATCAACTAAACACGTAATCTACAAGGCAACACTGCCAAGCTGAATTGCAACTTCCTCCTGTCATCTCATGGATCATATTACCAGGTCGAGGGACCTAAATAGAGTACCAGCTGCAGATCGCCATTCATCTCATTATTTGGTGGCCAAAGTCGAATGGGAAATATTGGCTGTCCACCAGTTTAATCCTTGAGGAATTTGGCGTTTCATATCAATTTTGCCCCCTACATGGCTATTTTCACTTAAATGAGCAAAAATGACTTATTAGCAAATAGCGTCGAAACTGAAACTAAATCGCCATTCGGATAAAGGAGCTCAATTCATGTAGCGACATTCAATCATAACACTCAATGTAACGTGTGGAACATCAACTAACGCCTTGCACATGTGTGAGGTTTAAGTGTACATACAAGATAGTGGCGTTGTGATACACTTCCAATAACCTGGTTAAAGCAAGGACTACAGCAGCTAATTTTTGCATGTATGATAACACAGAGGCTATAATCTGAAGTACACACAGTGACGGAGTTACCATTAGCAGCAACGACGAAAGTACCCTCTCGGATGGACCCAAGTGAATAACAGGGTGTAGTGATTAGGCCTTTGGCCGCATGATGGTTAACTAGCTCCGATTAAAGTCACGGCATCCTGCAACGCTTTTGGCACACGCCTAAGCAGCTCGCAAACGATAAAATCTACACGTAAACATTACATCCTAACATATAACAAGAAAAATGGACACATTACTCGCTGCTAGTAATAGGAGTCTGGTTAACACGGTAGCAAACATAAAAACATACACTCTTTCAGCAATATCCAACTGTGGATTTAAATGCTGTTTGCAATCTGGCGAGTTACGCGCCACGTCGTTCCTCGTCCTTGATAACTCGTTATCTACTCCTTCTAATTTATACAACGCGTTGTTTTTAGCTGCTTCTATCTTCTCTACCGCTCCGTAGTTAGTAAGTTCTTTACGTGTCAAACTAACAATTAGTATTCAGATTACACCAAACAATTAGTGACCCCGACAAGGAAAACACGCCATCCAACATTTAAAATTTCCGTTTTGAAAAAACTCGTGCTAATGAATTTGTAATTCAATACCTTTTATAATTTTGCATTCTTACCTGCCGGATTTCTCAAGACATTTCACAATGAACGACCTAGAGAATAAACCGTCGCCATACGTGATTAATGCCGCAGAGCTGGCCTCTCCACCTTTTTGAGAGAGCGATACATTACTATAAATTGCGCAGCTAGAAGCCACATTTTGCAAATACACAATTTCTTCTGATTGGCCTAAATGTCATCAACTCATATTTTGGCTTCTTCAGAATATATTCTCCCAATTGAGAAACGTAATGGATTGCCCCATCCCAATACGAAATATGAAACCCTCCAGAAGGCTAGCATCCAGCGAACCAAGCCTTCAGACAAGGTCTGCTGGTAGCAAATGTTTGAGGACCCTCAACCAGACATGATGCCCACAGCCTTGCTGCAAAAAAAGCAACTGCTCTTCGACACATTCAACATGGACGTAGGGATTCTGTACGAAATGTGATTGTAACGCCTCCTGAAAGCACGCAGGAAAGGCTGGCGGTAGCAAATGCAGACAACAGTTCGTATTGTTGAACGGCACAAGGCAACGTCATTGACATCTTCAAGACACGTTAGCTGAGGGCGAGAAACACACCTCAGATATTATTCCGTAACACAAGTTAAGAGATTAAACAGTACAGCCCACAAAAGGTCAAAAGATAATTTAATGCTAAATACCATACTACGCCCATCGTGACGAGGCTGAACCGTAACGTGGTGCGGTGGTTTGCGTGTCACAGTGATCCAATAGGTTATGCAAGGTGGTGATTTGCAACTTCAGAGCAAGTCATAGCAGATTGGTCAATGGTTAGAGGTCTGACAAACTTAGTTTCCTGGCCCTGCCGGTTAGGAGTTGAAGTGAGGGTGGCTCCTAACTTCATAAAACGGACTCAACGTATACCAGTGCCAAAACCCCGTTGCATTGCTGTCAGGATTTTTAACCACAGGCTTTGTTAGAGAACCCTGATCGTCCTCTTGTCTAGACCTGGACAGCCTGACAGTATTCTGCCAACGCCACACAACATAATGACTTTGTTTTCAAACAATGTTTTGATGTTGTGACCATCGCAAAGGATAATCGACGTCGCTCTATTTGCCGCATTAAGTTAGGTGGATAGGTGTTTGGGTGTTACCGCTCAAGCCTTCCCGTATTCTTCGGTCCTCGCTTGCGCCTTTCATTCTTACCATCTAATTCCAACTGCACTTTTATTCCCCCGTTTTCAGCCCCGCATTTCTTGGCCCACCCCCACCTTGGTTCAATAAGCGTTTAGACTCACAAGCAATCGCCTGGCGTCGCTCCGGTTCAGTCGACATGTGCATGTTCAGCCAAACAGATAACGTAAGTTCATCAGTTTCTATTTGGAGCCCTCGATCCTCCGTAAGACTGTCATGCCTCAGTGTGCGCAAGTTATTGTATATTGACAAACATGCAGCATATGCTCTAACTCTATGAACTTCTCACCATACGATTTCTTGATGCTCTGGCTGTCGCAGAGCATAATCAACGACGCCCTATCCGCTGCATCGCGCTGCATGTATAGGTGTTTGGTTAGTATTGCTCATACCTTCCTGTCTTCTTATTCCACCACTTATGCTTTTTATGGTTATCGTCCCGTTCCAATGTCAGGTTTATTCCGCTGTTTCCAGCTCTCCAACTCTTGGCCATTCCCATTCTTTTTTCAATGGTCGCTTGCCTTCTAGTTTCAACTCACACGCAACCGTAGCACGTCGCTCGAGTCCAGCCCAACCGAACGGACAATGTCAGTTCATCCGTTTCTCTTTGGAGCCCCCAATTCTCCCTAAGACTGGCTTACCTCAACGTGCGCAGTTTGTTACAGGCAGCACTTGCCCGAACACTAGAGACCCTATCGATCGACATCTGCTGCTTATCGTAAATCTGCCTGAAACATGAGTTCCGTGATTACTTTGCAATCACACATAAGCGACACTTAGGGTATTTTCCCATTGTGCTTGTCCAGAGTTGACGCGACTTCATATGCCAGTTAGGCCGGTGGGAACACTGCCCTTAGTCCCGGGATGAAGCTGACATTTGTTGACCGGATCCAAATGAACAGCTGGATGTGCGTTGTCAGAATGCCTGGTTAGTTCAAAGCTTCCAAACCGCGTAGCGACAAACAATGCTTCTTTGTCATTGTAGTCTACGCACCCACAAATAGTATCTCTGACGAAGTGAAAGACGACTTTCATCCCTAACTAAACGAACTCCTTCGCCACAGAAAAATTACGGATACTGTGATTCTGGCTGGCGATCTGGACGCCCAAGTGTGAAAACCATCCACTGATAAGTCTCATCTGGGCGGCCAACACAATGTAGGCTCCCGTTATGATAACGGTGAGCGGTTGTTACACCTGTGTGAAGATGATCGTCTCTCTCGTGAGCACTAACTTCCGACACATCAATGCAGCAAGGTGACATGGTGCCAACCTGTCTCAAATTAGCCATGGACGCCAGCAGTTACCACTGGATAGGATGTGTCAAAAACTGTTGCTCGATATGTAGCCCGAATGTGGACTCTGACTACGCAATCGTCTGTACCGATCTTACAGTTCGCTTCAGTGGGCGCATGCGGTGTCGCTATAAGCGCATGCCAGTTAGTGAAGCCTGTTGTCCTAAATGCGTAACGAAGTACGCCGGGATTCGGGCTGATTACGCGCTCTGTGAACACAGTAGAGGGTTACTGGTCGCATACTCACCAGACGTTATTATCAACAGGCACGTCTTCATGTAGTAAATCAAATTGCCAACTTGGACATTGGGTCTCTATGCAGTCTCTGGAACTTTTGGGCGCACGCCGACACATTCCGGCTGGGAGAGAATACAATGGGACTCGCAAAGACGTCAGAGCGAAACTATATGCTAGCCTGAAGAGGGACCGTGAAGTCTAACGTTCTCATGGTGCATCGAAGATGGAAACGGATGCTGTCCTTGGTAGCCATCGAAAGTTATTCCGTCTTATACCCGAAACGTACAGCAGATCTAGTGTTACCAAAACTAAACGTTACGAACATGGAGGGGGCCGATCCAAAGCTTGTCAAAACGCTTGCAGCATTGGGCCGAACATTTTGAGAAGCAGCTTAATCAACTAGAGTTGCAAGCTTTTACGGCCATTGCTCGTTATTTCCCTGGGTAGTTCCGCTGGATCCAACTGTGCGAGTAAGGGTCGGAGGTGAGAACTGAGTGTAAAAAGTGAATAAGTGCGCGGAAGCGGATAGAATCCCTCCAGCACTCTTCAAATTGGGGGACTTGTCCTTGAAGATGATCTGCACAACTTAATTGTGAAGATGTGGGAGCAGGAAACCGTCCCAACAGTTTGGTATTGCTCCGTTATAGTCATGATTTTCCAGGGAGGCTCCCGTTTAGAATGCGGCAGTCATAGAAGAGACAATACAAAATGTATGCACCTACCAGCCTTCATCTACTATCCCTGCTTTTCAAATAGAGGAATCAGTTTAATCACAATTGCTTCTAAGTTAGTTGCCTCTGTCGTCCTCCAGAGACTGACTGGCACCAGTGAAAGCCAGATGCGCGGAGAGCAGGCTGGGTTTTGTCAAAATCGAGAGTGCATTGACCACATCGTCACACTACGTCAGTTGGAGCAATGCCATATTTATTGGCGATCAAACGTAGTGGTGTTCCTTTTTATCACATGTGCCTTCGATTCGGTGGAGCGATGTGTCCTTTGGGACTGTCTAATGAGGAAAGGTGTGCCCGATAAATATGTAAATGCCATAAGAGCGCTGTACGCACATACTTCAAGCAGTGGGAGGGATTACGGCAAACTTTCACTGCAATTCAACATCTCCAGCGGTGTGAAACAAGGTTATCCCCTATCACCACTCCTTTTTAACCTGCCCACTGAAGAAGTCACAGAAACGGCGTTCGCCAGGCACGAAGTAGAAAGTGTGGAGCTGCTTCCAGGTGATCGACTTCTAAACTTGGAGTACGCTGACGACATTGCTACAACCTGTGACAGTTCCCGAACGTGCCAAATGACACTGGACAAATTAGCACTGGCTGCTAGCCATTTCGAGTCATACGTTGCACCGTCGGATTGCCAAGTAATTCAAGATTGGAAGGGACCCAGCCATGCGCTGACCCTCGGTGATGATGAGCTAGAAGTCGTAAAGAAATTCGAGTATCTGCAAGTATATCAACGCCAGTGGAATAGAAGATGTGAGCAAAAACCGCATAACAAAAGTTCGAAGTGCATTGGCTAATCTCCGACACGTGTAAAACCGGCGTGAAATCTTGCTTGAATGTCGCTGCCTTCGCAGCTTGGCTCACATCTGGTGAGAACACCAGGCGAACAATGAGCGTGTTCGGGGCAGGAAGAGCGGACCGTTCAGCACCGTTTTGTTACAAACCACACATGTTGCGCAAGACAGCACATCGACTTCTGCACCATGAGCTGCCTGCACGCCGGGGTTCGGGTGAAAGAGAAGGAAAGACTAAGCGATGACTTGGTCACGTGGAGTGAAATCCCTCAATTCGAAGTCGGTGTCGGTTGGTGTTTTCCGACTACCGGGTTGGGGTCGGAAGGGCGATGAACATGTTCGGCTGGATACAATAGCTGACCTCAATGGCGTTCGTGTTGTGAGTCTTGAAGTGTCCGTCCCTCGCCTGAATGGACGCTTGATTCCCAGTCAAAACCCGAAGTCGCTGGCCCCGCAAAGGAAAGAGAAAAGACCGCATCGGACGAGCGGAGCAACAAGGGTCTATTAGCAAATCACACCGTTCATTATAAAGGTGAAATGGAAACTTGGTGAATGGTAGTTAAACTGCACGTGGAAAGCTCTGGAAAGGTCAATTTACAGCAAAGCAAGAAACGCCGCCTTGGTGTTAATTGGCCGCTTCTAACGGTTGGCTCTCTGTTCGCCCCAATCAGTCGGCCGGTGGTCGAGTGGTCTGCACGTTTTGTTTGCAACCATAAGGTCACCGGTTCGAATTCGTGTAGGGGTGGGCGTCCTCGCGGTACTCAGCCGGCGCACGACTAGTGGTGGTCGCGCGGCAGCGAAGTGCCGTTACGGCGTACAGCAGACACATTATTTATCATTATTATTCACCCAAATCAGTGTGGGTGAGTTTGGATCTCCTGCCGCAGTGATGGGGCCTTGGCTTGTTAACATTGCGTATTCCTTCCTAACAGTTCTCTCCCTTTGAGTTGTGTTGTACGATTTCTGCTTGGGGTTGACTTGAATGGGTAACACGAATTTGCGTCGCCGCTTCGGCTTCTGTGCTGCTAGGTTTCGGGGCGAATATTGTGATTGCTGTGTTGGGGCATGTTGGGGAGTCTTCGCTTCATCCGCGTCGGCCAGTATATCCAGAGGTAACTGCGCTGCTGGTACTTGTTGTTGCAGTTGTTCGCCAGTCCCTGCCTCTAGCAGCTGATTGACATGTCTTACCCAAATTGCCGTCCAAATCTGGCTACCGTAGATCACGTTCCCACGTTTGTATAGCGCACGGCACATAGACCATCTAGAATAGTGGATGCGATAATCTCTTGTCAGAACTTGTTGGCCAACATTAAAGGCGATTTCATGCGATTCATTCCTGGTGGCCGGTATGAAATTGTCGGAGGACTCTCACTTGAAAGATGAGGGGAATGACGACACGATCTGAGAACAGCAGACAATTGCTGACGACTGATAGTGCTTCCTTTCGCTGGTGGAATTGTTGAAGCTCCGGCGTTGTAACTCTCTTAGGCCAGCCAGTGAGGTGGAAATCGATCACTTGTTGTAGGGTAGAATCATGAAGGGTCGCTTCCTGCACCATTTCGAACGTTGCTGGAAAGGCACCGAAAATGTCAGACAACTTGATGTACTTGGGGTTCTGCGGAAATTTGAACAACTACCAAATCATCTGGTTCTTGATGCTGTGTACCAACTAAACGAGATAACGCATCCGCTTGACCAATGTTGTGTGAAGATCGACAGTTGACGACGAAATCGTATCCAAGTAGAACCGTTGCCCAACGTTGGAGACGACTGGCCGTGAAGACTGGAATGCCTTTCTTTGATCCAAAGATTTCGACCAAGAGTTTGTGTTCCGTGAACAGCGTGAATTTTCGTCCATAAAGCATTTTGTGAAATCGTTTGACTGCAAAACACTATAGCCAAAGCTTCTTTCTCGATCTGCCCATAGTTGCGTTCCGCTGGGGTGAGTGATCTGGCTGCATGTGCCACGGCTTTCTCCGCATCATTGGGGAATTGTGGGATGTGACTGCTCCAATTCCGTAGTCTGACGCGTCAGCAGCAACCATGATCGCCAGCTCCGGATTGAAATGCGTTAGCAATAGGTCAGAACACAATATAGACGTCACATTATCAAATGCGGCTTGACATTCAGGAGACCACACAAATTTGCGACCTTTTACCAGAAGTTCATTGAGCGATCCTCGTAGCCGATGCATTTCGGGCACAAAAGAGCTGAAATAAATGATCAACCCCAAGAATGATCTGAGCTTCGCGACATTGTCAGGGAAGGCACCTGTTTTATGGCCCTTATGTTGGAAGGATCCGGACGACGTCCATCCCTGTCGATGATGAAGCCAAGAGACTTTACACACTTCATGCCGGTATTGTACTTTTCTGTTTTCAAGCGGAAACCGTAGCCATTAACGCAGTGGAGAACTGCTTCCAGTCTTTCCGTTAGCTCTCGAAAAGTAGACTCTTCGATTATGATGTCGTGCAGACAAGCTGCGACTCCTGATAACCCAGCTAACACCGTATCCATAATTTGTTGAACAATCGCGGGAGCCGATTTGACACCAAACGGTTGAACTGGTAAATATCTCTGTGCGTATTGATTGCCAGCAACTCCTTTGAAGCATCGTCGAGTTCACTTTGAGGATAAACATCCGATAAATCTAGCTTTGCAAAGTAAGCGCCACCATTAAGCTAAGCAAATAAATCTTCTGGGACTGGCAA